GATGCCCTTGTGCATGTGCATGTCGAGCTCGATGCACTGGCCGGGCCGCAGCTTGGCGATGAGGATGTCGGGGTTGACGGGGCGGATGGCATCCTCGCCGGAGAAGAACTCGACCTGGCGGCCGGTGGGGACGAACTCAATGTCCTTTGCGTAGACGCTCGCGTGGTGGAAGGCCTTTGCCGGGTCCGTCTCGCCGGGGGCGGCGTCCGGGTTGCGGGTGCACTCGATGCGCAGGCGCAGCTGGACGGTGTTGTAGTCGAAGGAGCCCTTGCCGCCCTGCTCGGGCTTGCGGTACCACTTTAGAAACTTGTGCAGGCCCTCGGGGTTTCCGGTGAAGGGGATGAGACCGAGGCGGTGGGCGAGGACCTCGTCCTGGATCACCGAGGTGTTGTTCTCAATGTAGACGTTCTCGATGGCGATGGTAGGGATCTCGGCGATGAGGGTGCGGCGGAAGGCGTTTGCGATGGAGGCGTCGACGCCGATGAGGGAGAAGGAGGCTTCGTGCTGGGCATTGTGGTGGAACTGGACGCGGAAGTTGGAGGCGAAACGGTCGAGGTCCCAGGCGTGGTCCTCGCCGGCGTAGGTGCCCGGGTAGTCGGTCGAAGTCACATCAGTGACAGTTTCCTTATTGATACCGACTATCTGCAAGGAGTGGTCAGTATGGGAGAATCGCACCTCGAGGACAATGTGAATCGAATTGACTTACCCTCCGCCGGTCCAGCTCGGCTTGACTGGGTGTTGAGGAGGGTGCCATGGTTGTGTGCGGTATGGCTGGACTGCGACTGCGAAAAGTTGCGATCGATGGAAATGCAAAATAATTTTTTGGAGGACCCCTCTATCTACACCGAGACTATGCGGCTTACGTACACGCCCCCTGGATTGTTAATGCCAACCCCCCTACTCCGAATGCGTTCTGGAAGAAAAAAAATCTGGAGAAGCTGTGTGGGGCACTGAACGTCACAACGGACAGTATCGATGTACCTTAGTTGCGACTCGCGAGATCATCACCCAATTCGACGGGACGGTCTGTCGTTCAGGATCACGAGAAATCACAATGCTTGATATACCGGCTCGAGTGTCTGCCGAGACAATTTTTGCGTGTAGCTGTTCTAGGTCTTCCTGATAGTCATTTCTTGTCAGTGACATCCAGGTGTCGTTGATTTTTTTGGTAGTTCCCCCAACACCGGGCGTAAACATGCTATCCGTAGTCGTGATCCAAAAGGACCAGACCATGAAGCTTTCGCGAACGAAGATGGCATTCACTGAAGACTTACAATGATCACTGCAGACGCGCACCCAACGAATCGTAAATACCTCTTAGACAGTTGACTAATGCCAGAATTGATACCTTACGTAGTGAAGGGCAGTTCGATGGATTTTACGGAGTAATGTAACTTAAACGCATATACTCCTTCCATTGCCATGGTCGATCTCGGCTACATGATGTGGCGGGTATCTCTACATTTGGTGATGAGAACAGGTTCTGAGTTGATGTGAGTCTACGAATACGATGACAGTATTCCAGTGATCTATCGACATCGAGAGGCAACACCAACATAGGTAGGTACCATACCATCTGACCTTGAATCAGGTGGGTGGCTGCTAGGTAGAGGAGCGCACTGGATGAGGGCAATGAGTCTTCTCTCTTATTCCATCTTATAAGCCGAATACGTATCTAGCATAAGAATATCCGGTGGGAAGGAGCAAGTGTAGCAAAGGCAGGTGCCACGGGAAGTAAAGTTTCGGGGGCAAGAGCGACCCAGACTCGCCGCACCTTCCCCCGTCAATAACATCGCTCTGTCCACAGGAATATTTCCTGCAAGACTCGCTGCCCTTCTTTCTTTTCGCTTCACTCATCCCTTCTCATCGCACCTCAGTTCAAGTTCGTAGCCTTTCATTCTTTCCTCGAAAACACGAAGCTGGTTGCAAGCCTCTCATCCGCAGGGGTAGTCTTCTCATCGTTATCGTTGGTATTTGTGTCCCTAACACAAATGAATCATATTTTCCTGTTCGAGGTAAGAGACGAGACGCCCCAGATACTCATCTTACATTCAAATCCTTCGTCAAAGGGTTCCATTGACCATTGTTTAGATTCGAGGCTATTTTGCGATTGTCGTGGCCATCACAGACATCACAGACGCCACCACTCGATTTCGCATTACTACTTCCTTGATTTGGGACTGAATCCTTGTACGAGCTTTCTTTCACACTCGACTCACGGATACCGCCCACTCCAGCAGCGATGGTGGTGAATGTAAGCACCAGTGTGTCGCCTTGGCGATGCGATGCCTCGGCGGCAGATGATGTCCATCCTCACTCTGCCACTGCAGCGTTCCAGCAGCAGCACATGCCGGACCCGCGTTACTCGAGGGAGATTTTCGAGGTCAGTGGCAACAATCATATCTCTCCTTCCTTTCCATTGTTTTTCTTCTTCCTTTTTCGTACATTGTTTTGACTACTAGCAGACTTGCTCCATCCCAGTCAAGATCGGAAATCCTCCCCTAGCTCCCAAGCCCGCGTTCGCAACCACGATGTCGAAGAAAAAGTTGTCTGGCAAACAAATTGCCTCCTCTGACTCTTCCGGTCGCAAGAAGAGCCGTAGAGACCGTCTCTCTGCGCTGTTTGGCCACAGCCCCGAGCGGGTTGACGATGCCGCTGACGACAAGACCGCCCCCCATGACGAAGCCACGCCTACCAAGGCCACCGCAAGCAACCGACGTGAGAATGAAAATCATCTTCAGAACTCTGCCGCTAACCTCGAGGATGATCCCAAGGAGAATGGTACTCGCGACTCTGTCGTCACCATTGTTACGACTCGTTCTGTGACTACCGAAGACAAGGATGCGCATGAGTCTGGCGCCGCGGCTTCGGCGGACAAGATTGACACCATCGATTTCGCCAATAAGAATCAGATCCGAGGTAAGACCCTCGAAGTGAAGCCTTGTACTAAACTGACTATCGACGAAGCAATTTCGAACCCGTCTCCGAGTCGCATGACTAAGTTGCCTATCCATCGCCACAAGAGAGCTTCCAGCTCTTTCAAGATTGTCGACAGGGACTCTGCTGACGCTGTGCTCCTCTCTGCTTTTTCTTACAATCCATCCCCGGAGAAGAAGAACAGTGCTGTTGCGAAGCCAAGCACTCAGGCGCCTTCTTCTACTCAGCTTGCCCAGCATAACCAGCGCCATGATCAGGAGGCTCCTTTGCTGCCATCGTCTACATACTCCGGCCCTACCATCCACAATAGTGAACCTCAGAACAAGCACAGTCAGAGCAAGCTCAAGGGCAACTCTCATGCCAATCATGACTGCGCTCTCTCTTCTTACCCAGAGCCCGGTTCTGCGATCAAGATCACCGACACCGACGAGGAGATTGCTAGAAAGCTCGAAGCTACGGCTTTCACTCCTGCTGCAGTGGCCCCTCCTCCTAATCCCCTTCTCAGCGCGCTGAAGACTTACGTCTCCGATAAGTCTCCAGGTGAGAAGAAGGTCCGCTTCGCCGCGGGCTCTTCCGTCAAGTCTGGCGATAGCGACAATGAGAGCGGAGTTTCGGACGATTCGGACAAGACCATCAAGCCTGGTACTGGAGGTATGAAAGCGGCCTCAAATTCTATTCTCTCGCCTACAGTCTGGGACAAGAGTGCTGAGCCCAAGATCTGGGTCAAAAACGGCAAGCCCACCCTCTTCCAGCCTCAGAAAGATCCCGGCTACTACACCAACCCGCTTTGGTCCCGCCAGTATCCCGAGATTCTCTCAGATGACCCCCGAGTTAACCCCTATGGTCCGAGCATCGCCGGAAGCACCACGTCCACAGATGGAAGCCAGTATTCTGACGCACCCGCAGCCCGCGCCGTCACCGACTTCGAAGTGGGTAACAAGCTCCACTCCAATGGCGAATCCAGCACCAACGTGAACTTCGGCACGGGTGCTGCGCCTGCTCGCACTCTCTTCACTAGAACCACTCGAGGCACTATGCCTTCGCCCCCGGGTGCCAACCAGAACTTCGTCGGCCGTGACTTCCCCGAAATTCCTACTGTCCCCGCTGGATTCGGCATGCCACCTCTTTATAGAGGCCAGATCAAGTTGGAGATTGGTGGCCGCCGCTTCGTCAGCTCTATGGATGTTCTCGAGAGAAGCCCCTGGTTCAAATATATCTTCTCCATCAACTTCCGCGATTGGTACCGCGATGGCGTCTTCCACTTCGACAACGATGGAGATCTCTTTGCTCACATTCTGCGCTTCCTTCGCACCGGCATGTATCCACTCTTCTGGGATGCGCGCAACGGCTTCGACTATGCCATGTATGCGATGATCCAGCAGCAAGCTCGCTACTACATGCTCTACGACCTCGAGGCTTGGATTGCGCAGCAGAAGTACCAGGATGTGGTGGAGACCCAGGTCATTCACCAGAAGTTCATCATCCCGAACTCTCAGGGCTGGATTCACGAGCAGAGTCTCACGGGTCTTGACACCTCCGAGATCTCTGGCGTAGCTGAACACCCCAATGTGGCCCTCGGTCGCCAGTCTGAGAGCCAGGCACCTGTTGCGGACATGTTCTTTTCTGATAACGGAGTCAACTCGAAGGGGAAGGCCAAGGCAATCGCGCCTCAGCAGGACGGCCCTGATGGTGCCGTGGCGCTGTTCACCACCGAGAAGGTTGTCAAGGTTCACATGAACCAACTCCGCCCTTTATAAGAGTTGAACTCGTCTCACTTGTAACATGTTGGAGTATTCGGACGATTTTGTCGTGGGAGGGAACGGGAATGCGTACTGGATTTGTTTTTTGAGAACCTTTGCTGTTTCATATGCAGCTCGTTTGGCCATGGTAATGAGGGGATGGATATGGCCCGACTTTTGTTCTCTAGGAATCAAACTTTGCTCAGTGTGTAGGCCAAGAGTCCTTGGCTAAGGACTGCTTGAGCCGTTCAACGCAGGCCAACGCAGATAGTCTCAACTCAAATGAAAATTGCAATTGAAAAAAATGAGGTATCACCGTGCTCATCATACATTGGCCAAGATGTTCATCATAATCCTAATTCTGGCAGGAAGCATTCGCTCCTGCAAGATCGTGTCACCTCCCCGAGCTGGTGGAAACGTCCGCTTTTTGCTTCCGATCTTGCCGTCATTTGAGTACACAGTTGTCTTCTCAATATTGTACACCGGACTTTTGGTGGATGGAGTTCTTTCCTCAGGACGGTACGTTTTTCTGATAACAGCATATGATGTTCTAATCCGAATTGGACGTTGCTTTCTCTTGGGCTCACTTCGCCGATCGGGAATTCGAGACTGAATTCTGGTGCTATCGGATATTCGAATAGCAGGACTTATGCGTGGAGTACGGTCTTCTTGGACTGGTGAGGCGTTCCTTCGTCTCGGGGAGGCCTCTGTGCTTCGAGCTTCATCATCTTGGCCAACTACAGTCGTGGCTTTGCTGTCTTCGGCGGCCTGTACCTGTGGAGTTGCTCTCTCTTCTTCTTCTTCTTCTTCATGTTCAATATGTATGCTGATCTCTACTGGTTCGTCTGCTTGACTTCCTTTGTTTGCAATCTCTTCAGTGTCGGGTACGTTCATCACTGATGTTGACTCCTGTTGGCCGTCCTGATTCCCTTCCTGCGACTCCTCTTGAATCATATTCTTGTTTTCAACAGAATAATTTTGTGCTTCGATATCTTGAGACATTTCTTGATTCTCTGTTTCTTTCTGAGTAGTCACAATGACGACATCTATTTCACTTGGAACGGTCGGTACTGATGGCTCGTCTACCTCAGTCGAGACCGACCAATTCAATGTCGAAAGCGTGCTCTCCGCCGGATCTGCCTTTGGGCAATTGGCCTTGAAGCCAGCCAAATTGCTATAAGCACTGCTTATTCTACCTTTCAGTAACTCATTAAACCTCTGAGCAAGGTCGAGGCGGCTAGTGACTTGCGGTATTTTCCATGACGGGTATAACCTCCCATGGCAGCGGGACGTGTAAAATGTCTTTTCAGCTTCAATAAAGGCGTTGCAGAGGTAGCATGCGTCTTTGCTGGATCGAATGACTCTGGGAGGAAGGTCTGAATGGCGGCTCTTGAGATGATAGTGGTATATCAGCTGAACTTCAGCGTGGACCTTTGCGTTCTTCAGTACATCCTTGGCCTGCTTTTCGAATACAACGTTGGCATCCTGATCGTTTTCTTGTGACCAGGCATCCCTGAGGACCCGATCGGGGCCTTTCGTGATTCCATTCCTTGACAGAGCTGTGGTGAGTTTTGGGTCCCTTTCATATGCTCCCATCCGTTTGTAAGCTCCTTGCGCAAAGCTCGTGAGGTTGACCGTCACCACGTCCGCGGACCTAGCAATTGGGTACTTCTTTGCAGTCCGGTATATATGTCGAGAGACCTCTCTGTACCGCGCAACCTTGGAGATCATATTGCACAGGCTCGTTTTCGAGCTTGGGGCCATTTCCGTGTGAGGGATCATGTGGACGAGCTGTTCAAAGTGGTCGACTAGTGACAGCTGGAATATATCTTCCACCAAGCACTTCAGCTCAGAAGGATCTTGGTATCTTCTCCATCTTCCGAGTGACTTTGTTATATCGCGAGCTCTTGTCAAGAGCTCTTGTGACTGTGCCATGCTGTTGCTCGGCTGAGTAAAGTATATGCTGAGCGTTTCGAGCAACGTCTCAATTGACTGTCGTTTTCTCGTTGGGCGCCCTTGCGATCTCCCAGCTCGTGCTGCGGGCTCTTCGCGAATGCGTTTGAGAATCCGATTGTAGCACATCCTTACAACCTCTTCGAAGACCCCATCCTCGACTTTGGATCTTGATTCCTTAGGATCTATTCAGCATCGAGTAAGCTCATGTCTCCCCAGCACCTGAGAAGGATAACATCAATACTTGCCGTCAAGACCCTTTAATTGCTGGAAAATCTGTTCGAATCCATGCTTGATATCCAGCAAGATTTCTTGACCATTGTTCGGGCTCTTTTTGTTGACGGCCACCACAATTTCTAAACGGCGTTGTTCAGTTCGTTCTTCAATGTAGACAGCCGGAACGAAGTCCGGGTTTCCATCGATGCTGGCCAAGAACGCAAAGGCGCCGCATAAACTTCGCTCTCTACTGAACTGCAGAGTTCTCTCCTTTTCTTCAATAGGGTTCAATGATGGCGGATTGCGCTGGGGGTAGTGATGAAACTTGCTCAAAAGATGCAATAGTGATATGTTCTCGGCGCAAGCAACTGCCGCAGCGCCACCTTCGCCAGACCTATCCATCGTGGCTTAAAGTATTTGTTCTGAAATGGTTGTAAGGGGACAAGGAAAACACACTTAACGACCGGTTTTTGACGAGCACATTGTGACTACAAAGTGTTGGTATTGTGATATCCATGATGCCGAGCCTTGCGCCAACGGCAGGCGCCCAAGGCTTCTTGTATGAGCGAACAATTGTATCGAAACGCAGCGCGTGCAGCAAGTCACCTTAGCAACTTCCTGACCATGTATGCTGCATACCAAGATGTATGAGGTGAGGCGTCCTGATATGACACAAGCGAATCAGCAACAGTTGCGTCCCTCCCTTTTTCCAAGATTCTGCAGGAGGCCAACCAAACCGCGGTCCAATGGTGAGGCCAGGCAAAGGGCCCGAAAGACTTGTGCATCTCGTCATTTCAGACACTTGGAAAGGCAAGAAAACATGACATAATCTTATAGAAGGGCTCATCGGTATTCGTATCACGGCGATGGAATAGCATGCCGGAGTTCGCTCGACGAAGGAATCTATGCACTATACTCCCCGTATCCGCATCCGCATCCGGGTCCGAGACCCACTGGTTCATCCCGCGTGGGACTACCTTACGCAGCTCCGCCGAGCCCCATAATGCCCAACACACTTGGAGAAACACCGATCGTAGTCACGACCAATTGCGCCACTTGAGGGCCGGCTGTATTGAAGTGCACATGAACTTTGGGAATGGCATTCCACTGAGGTTGAAATAAGCTTCTTCCACCCGAGTCGCTGGGCTCATAATCCTTTGTCCTCGCTCACTGATTCCGGATCTACCGGGTCTGCGGGGAATCACCCTCACGGGCGCTGGATCCATGACTGGCCTAAGAAAACAATGGGGGAGACCAAAAAACCCTGGATTCAGTAAAGGAAACACTCCATCATGCAGTGGGCACCTGTTCTCCAAATGCCCGTATTCGGGTCCGTGGGACGCAAAAGGGAGGCTTCGTCTGATACATCAACTGTATCACATGCAGCTCCTAGAGAGCGGCCTCTCAGTTTGACGCATAAGGGCAAGCTCGGGAGGGCGGCATCATCGTCTTCGAATTTGAGTTTCTTTGTCTGGGGCATATACTTTATCATTTCAGCTGCGGGTTCCTTTCTCACACTGCACATCTTATCTCATACTCAGACTTCAATTTCATTCTGAAAGAACACATCTCATCGCCCTCGTATCTAAACATAAATTTCAAGACATTGTAGACTGCACACTCATTTAGTCAACAACACCCCACGGCATCAAAACTCCATCACCAAACACAACCACCTTGCAAAGATGTTGAACACCACAGTAACCGTAACACACATCTCGCCCATCCCCTCAACCCTCTCCCGCGAAGGCGCCCTAGCCCTCATCCACGACGCGGAGCACCACATCAAATGCGACCCCAACATGAAAGACTACGCGGCCCGCACGCCCGCCATCCCGCCCACCGTCCCAAAGGACATTGACCCCATCGCCGCGACGCAGTGCTTCTCCGTCACCGACAGCGTGCCCTCGATGCTGCCCAAGGCCATCTGGAGCGGCGACGCCGTCAGCGACTACGACTTTACGTTCACGAAAGACGGCAGCTTCGTGCGTACGAGCTGTCCGCTCAACGTGCTGCTCGAGACGCGCTGGCGCGTAAAGGATGCCGAGGGCGCCGAGGGTGAGGGCGCGTTAGAGCTGGAGGAGGTTGTTGAGATTCGGTGCTCGAGGCTTTTGGCTGGGGTTGTCAAGTCGCAGTGTGAGACGAATTGGAAGGGTTTCCATAAGAAGATTCTGCAAGGAAAGACGGCATGATTAGGTTTCAAAGAGGAGCGACTGTAAGAAAGATGAAATGTCCGTAAGTAATGCACAGGAGCAACTCGCGGTAGACGGCAGACGTGGATATGTTGCGCGGATAGATTCATATGTGAACAGTGTCTAGTTTTGAGAGGTGTACTTTCAATTGTACGGTAATATGGCTTTCTTGATATCTCACATCAAACTGCTTCGCCCGCCAATTTCCATGCTTCCCTGGCCATCCTTCATCTCACCACTTCGACCAACGACAAATTCCCGGTAGATTCTCTGCAGTCTGGCCCGCTCCTGCGTGCTGATACTCGATCTGGTGTTTTCCAGGGCCTTCATCAAGTGCTCCAGCTTGACCACGACCTCCTTGTCGTTGACCGGCTTGCCATCCCCTTCTGGGCGTTGAGATTGCTTGACCCTCTTACGGGCAAGTTTGATGCTCTCCAACTTGGCGAGGATTGCGGCATTTTCAACAAGCTCTTTCTGCCGGCTGATCGGCTTCGCGGCAGGTGCAGCGTCTTGGCCGTAGCGGAACTGTACGAAGCTGGGGACAGAGCCTTGGGAAGACGACTTGCCATTGACCTTGCCGTTTGTTGTTGGGGCATGGCTGACATCATCCAGAACATCGTGGATCGCCTCCAGCTGGGAGTTGGACACAAGAGCCTGGAGATCAGCACCGGAAAAGCCTTCGGTTCTACGTGCGAGATCAGTCCACGCGTCGTCGGACTCTGTCAATTCCTCGCCGAGCTTGACCTTGCTGCTAAGGGACTTCAAAATGTCCACTCTGTCTTCCAATAGCGGCATGTCGCAGAGCAAAGATTTGTCCAGGCGTCCAGGGCGAAGTAGAGCAGGGTCGATCAAGTCTGGCCTAGATGTTGCTGCCAGCACGTAGACACCGGAAAGACCTTCCGCTCCGTCCATCTGCGTAAGAAGCTGGTTCACTACTCTGTCTGTGACACCAGTAGAGTCATGGCCACGCTTTGGGGCTATAGAGTCAAACTCATCAAAGAACAAAACACACGGCTTCGCAGCTGACGCGCGTTCAAAGAGATCGCGGACACTCTTTTCAGACGCTCCAATGTACTTGTTGAGGATCTCAGGTCCCTTGACGCTGATGAAGTTCAGGCCGCATTCTCCAGCAACCGCGCTTGCAAGCAAGGTCTTGCCACAACCTGGGTATCCATACAACAGCAGGCCTGACCGTAATCGCAGGGGACACTGCTCAAAGATTGGGGCGTACTTTGTTGGGTACTGCAAAGTCTCCAGGAGAACCTTGCGAGTTTCTTGCAAACCGCCGATGGAGCTGAAAGTGGTGGTTGAGTGTTGTAGAGAGACATTTCTCAGCGAGGCGGGCGTGAACCCCTTGAGAGCATTGTCAAAGTCGACGCGACTCAGATGTACCGCACCTCCCTCACCGTCCGTATCGTTGACAGACCGGATAATGGCTTCGTTCCGTGCTCTTGCCACAAGTAGGGTGATGTCTCCTGGCATATAGCCATCAATGAGGCCAGCAACATCCAAGAAATCCAAGTCGGGACTGATGACGAATCCTCCACTGGTGCCATTCTGGTTCTCGCGGCTGCCTTGGCTGCCGGCATCCATCCATGCGCTGTCCTCCCCTCCGGCGCTTCCGTCAGCTGTGGGTGGCCGGCTGCCATTCTGCGGTGGCCTTGGAAAGTCTTCAGCGGAAATTGCGTCTCTTCTGACAATGCTTTCCATGACCTTTCGTCTCGCTTCTTTGTTTGGCGCCTTCAAATCAACAATCTCGCGGACGACATGACCCCCAATGATGACACTGTTCAAGGAATCTTTACCTTCCGCAACAGCCAACAGGACCACTCCAGTATCCACATTGCAGTATTGGCGTACCATGGAACCAATGATTTCGCTAATCTGGCGGCTCCGTCCGTTGTCGTTGCCAACTTGCAATTCGGTTTCCACAGGGCACAGCTTGTCGAGGTCGTCCAAAACTACGAGTGCCTTGCCCCCAAGCCTAGCACCCCAGCTGGCTGACATAAATACTTGGGTCAAGGTATCCTTGATGGTAGCAATTCGAGTCTCGTCATTAACGAGCTTCCGGCATGGGAAGTAAGTCGTATGGAATAAAAGATCTTTGCCAAGCTCCTGCGCTAAAGACCTGGCAACTGCAGTCTTGCCAGAACCCATAGCACCGGTCAGGAGAGTCGAGGAAAGGTGTGAAAGGTGGCTTCGAAGGTCTTGAAGGAGCTTATCAATGCCTACTAGCTGCCCGTCATAGGACGGCTGTAACTCAGCGATACTATCGTCGTTCATCCACGACGGTCGGGGAACCGGGTCTCGAATATCGACCGGAATTTTCTCGCTGAGGCCCAAGACCCATCTTGTTGATGATCTAAGCGGATCGCTGTTGATAGCTGGCGGATCGAACTTGATTACTCCTCCTTCCCAACCTTGAGGAGCCTCGAGGCCCTCGAAAAGGCCAATTACTGATCCGTCTGTCAAAGGTCCGGTGATGAGAGGGGCAGCATCTTTGCGAGCGTACAGATGCCTAAATTGCTTGGCCGCCTCCTCTTTGCCAGCCTTGGACTCGCCACCGAACTTCAATCCATCTGAAGATTTTTTGGAAGCGGCAAACGGTTGGACTATCAACTTTGTAACAGCATCCAGCGGCCATTGTTGCGGCGCCGGCTCGACCTTGACAATCCCTCCAACGGATCCTGTAAAGCCCAACGTTGCACACAATGCTGGAGAGAGGGCAATGGTCTTGCTGTCGGGTGGATCGTCCCAAGCGCGTAGATGTGCGACAACCTTTGTAGCTACTTTCGATGTGCTTGCTGATTGTTCAGCATCTTGTGGTTTCTGGGTGGAACTTGCTTGTGGTGTAGGTCGCAGAATGTTGACCGAAACATAGTTCACACCTCGGAAATCCTTGGTGTACAGAATGTCGCGGTCTACCCAAACGCTGAAATCTTGGGTAGTCAGGTCCTCGTCGAACCACTCCCGGCAAGCCGAATGGGCGATACCGCGTAAACAGAGGGCAGGCTTGCGATCTTCCCGCGCACTACGCCGCCGGACTGTACTTGCGCCGCTGCGCTTGGACTTGGAGGTGCTTGCCACACTACGATTCTCTCCCAGGGAGTGTGCTGTCTTGGCCCGGACCTTTGGCGCAACAATGACTTCAGCGTCGGGAGATATTTTGACGAAAGGAACTTCGGCGCCGGGAGCGGGATCGAGAGAAACTACTTTGACGTTTGCTGTCGATGTTGGCGAGAGGTGTAGAGTCAAGGCGTGAGGGGCGACCAATGAGCCGGAGCTGGAAGTAAACGCGGGGTTTGGCAAAGCTCGTACTTGAGAGAGGAGGTTGAGTTCGAGGAAGGTCGCATGCAACTCAATCATTTCCCAGTCTTCCGGAGTGAGCGGCTCGATGTTGATCGTGTGCGCGACGGGTGGATCGACGTGTATTGAAGCCGTCACCTTTTGTCCGTCTGTAAGGCCTAGGGTGCTGGCCAGCGTCGCGTCGATTTCGACCTGCGCCACTTCCTGGTCGCGCCCCGAAGCGCCTGGTCTACCTCCATTGATGCCATCGCGCCCGACTATGGGTACAGCCTTGCGCTTACTCGGCATGCCCGTCCATCCAACGAAGACGGATCTTTGTTGTGATGCGCCGGACCCGGAGGCGCCCGCGGAGGGCCGGTAACTGAGTTCGACAACGACATTTTGTGCAGGCTGTAGGGGATGCTATGAGAAGGAGAACCATTGACAATATATGACTAGAGACCTACTGTGTTGACGTTCACGAGGAGTGAGACCAGCGATGCGGGGAGATTGACAAGGCAGTTCTTGAGGTGGGCGAGGGAGATCTCGGCCGGAGTCGATTGCGCATTGCGCCGGGAAGACATGACTGCTGCAATTGAGTGTCTAGTGGTCCATGAGAAGATCCAAAGGAAGAGAGCGACAGACTCTACGACGAGAACACTAGGCAATGACTACAGATATTGTTGCGGAGAGTCACCGGAGCTTGAGCTGCTGGAGCTGGGGATGGAAGTTCAGCCGAAAGTGACCCTGGCATGTGCCGACGCCGAGGCATTCCCGGCATGGGAAAGCCACCTCCACCCCCATTGGGTCCGAACACGGGGTAGCTACAGGCGGTACGTACTCTGGGATTCATGCAGGTGCATCCTAATACCTCAGCTTGCGCCTCAGGTAGCACCTAAAAGTACAACAGTCAGGTACCTGTAATGTGTGGCTGCAAATCAATTAAACCCTGTGGCTCAACGCGTTCCCCTTTCTTGACCGCGACGCGTCCCTGCGTGTCGCCCGGCCAATTTCTGAACCCCTGGTCGCATTGATCTCACATTCGATTCTTCCCAGCCCCCACCCGGCGCCAAATAATCTTCAATCCGATAGCAGCAGAACCACAAAGTCCACACTCCCCGCGGTTGTCGCAGAGACCAAGTGAAGCAACCTCATCATCGCATCGCTGCTGTCGAACACACAATTCGTATCCCAAGACTGAAGGAAACCAACCCCACAGCCGAGATCGCACAGATTCTGTCAAGATGGCGCTTCGTCAGTTCAAGGCGCCAGTAGCGTACGAAGCGCAGCAGAGTATGCTCAACCCTCCTGAAGCTCATGACTTCTCCCGCACCGCCATCATGACCGTGCTGACCTGCAATAGATGCACTTGAATCCTTCCTCACAGACTTCAAGGCGTCCCCCGAGCAAACGATTTCGCATGCCCTTGGAAACATTACGATAGACGAGGATGACTTTAGCGACGATGAGGTGATGGAGGATGACGAGACACGCGGCACCCGTCGCCAGGCCAGGAGTCCGCCAGGCCCAAAATACAAGGTCATGATGCAGAAGCTGGCAGACCGCAAGATTGATGAGGTCTTGATTGACCTGGACGATTTGGCGAGTGTGAGTTGCAGTAGTTCTTCATATCAAGCCCACGGACAGTGACTGACTCTTGCAGTTCGAATCATCCCTTGGCGATGAACTTCAGCTTGTCCACTCTATCGAAATTAACACCAAGCACTACGTCGAGCTTATGTCAAGAGCGGTCGACAAGCTTATGCCTCAGCCCAGCGAAGATGTCACGTACGGCTCCCCGGCACCTGTCGTCCACGGGCATCATGGCTAACAGTCGATAGTTTCAAGGATGATGTGCTAGATGTTCTCATGGAGCGGAGAAAACAGAGAAACGATATCCTTCAGAGGCAGGCTACTGAGCCTGTCGATGGTCAGCTGCCCGACCCCAGCATCGCTGAGGACAAGTTTCCCGCCGAGCTCACGCGCCGGTATACCCTCGTCTTCAAGCCCCGATCCGAAACTCCCTCCCACCCCGTCAAGGCGCTCGCCGTGCGAGAGGTCAAGGGCGAGCAATTGGGTCATCTCATCACCGTTCGAGCCATTGCCACCCGAGTTTCCGACGTCAAGCCTATCGTACAAGTGAGCGCATACACTTGCGATCGCTGCGGCTGTGAAATCTTCCAGCCCGTCAACGACAAGTCATACGGCCCCCTGACCGTATGCCCGTCCGAGGACTGCAAGACCAATCAAGCCAAGGGTCAACTACACCCTTCTTCAAGAGCCTCAAAGTTCTTGCCCTTCCAGGAGGTCAAGGTCCAGGAGCTGGCTGAGCAGGTACCCATTGGCCAGATCCCTAGAACTCTGACCGTCTTGTGCTACGGCACCTCCGTTCGCAAGGTGAACCCCGGTGACGTTGTCGACATCTCTGGCATCTTCCTTCCCACACCCTACACCGGCTTCAAGGCGATGAAGGCCGGCCTCTTGACCGATACTTACGTGGAGGCGCACCACATCGTTCAGCACAAGAAGGCCTACTCTGAGATGATTGTCGATCCTGCTCTGGTTCGCCGAATCGACCAATACAGACAGTCCGGCCAAGTCTACGAGCTTCTCGCCAAGTCCATCGCCCCCGAGATTTTCGGTCACCTCGATGTCAAGAAGGCTCTTCTTCTCCTACTCATTGGTGGTGTCACAAAGGAGGTCAAGGACGGCATGAAGATTCGTGGTGACCTGAACATTTGCCTCATGGGTGACCCTGGTGTGGCCAAGTCGCAATTGCTCAAGTACATCTCGAAGGTCGCCCCTCGTGGTGTCTACACCTCCGGCCGTGGTTCAAGTGGTGTCGGTCTGACGGCCGCCGTCATGCGAGACCCTGTCACTGATGAGATGGTCCTTGAAGGCGGTGCCCTCGTCCTTGCCGACAACGGTATCTGCTGCATCGATGAATTCGACAAGATGGACGACAATGACCGCACCGCCATCCACGAGGTCATGGAACAGCAGACCATCTCCATCTCCAAGGCCGGCATCTCCACCACCCTCAACGCCCGCACCTCTATCCTCGCCGCCGCTAACCCCATCTATGGCCGCTACAACCCCCGCATCTCCCCCGTCGAGAATATCAACCTTCCCGCCGCCCTTCTGTCTCGTTTTGACATCATCTTCCTTCTTCTCGACTCGCCCACCCGCGAATCCGATGCCCAGCTTGCCAAGCACGTCACCTACGTCCACATGCACCAGCGTCACCCGGATATTGGCACCGATTCAGTCGTCTTCTCTCCCCACGAGGTCCGCTCCTACGTCGCTCAGGCCCGCACCTACCGACCTGTCGTCCCCGCCTCCGTCTCCGAGTACATTGGCAAGACGTACGTCCGCATGCGTGGCCAGCAAAAGCGCGCCGAGAAGAAGGGCGAGCAATTCACCCACACCACCCCGCGTACTCTCCTCGGTGTCGTCCGCCTCGCGCAGGCCCTCGCCCGCCTGCGCTTCAGCAACGAGGTCACCCACGACGACGTCGACGAAGCCCTGCGCCTCGTCGAGGCCTCCAAGGAGAGTCTCGCGGCCGAGCAGGCCGCCAATGGACGCCAGCGCCTCAATGCCAGCAGCAGGATCTACAACCTCGTCAAGACCCTCGCCGACAGCGGCGCCTGCCGCGCCGACGACGCCGACGACGACGAGGAGGAGCTCGGTGTCGAGCTCAGTCTTCGCAAGGTCAAGGAGCGTGTCATTGCAAAGGGCTTCACTGAGGACCAATGGCTTGCTGCTCTGGAGGAGTACAATGAGCTTGATGTAAGTTTTCCCCCAACACCTATGTCGATGAACATTGCTGATAATTCATTAAATAGGTCTGGCAAACGGCTGGAAATGGTACGAGGCTGGTCTTCATCACCTCCAACGGCGCAGAGAGGGACGAATGAGAATTTTGAGCGAGCATGTGGGAGTCGTAGTAGTAGTCGTCTTATCGCGCGGTTGGTGGTTAGCTCAAATCTTGTGTTGTTTTCTCATAGTTTGCTTCGTAAAAAAGAAGCCTTTGGGACTTGGCGTTTTGGTTTTGACGTTGTCGAGGAAGATGAAGGAGACCAAGGAGAAGGAAGAACATTCTGGCGGAGCGCTTGCGAGCGGACTAGCTGTCCAGTCCCGTCCGAGATGGAAATAAAAAATAATGAACAACTAGCATCAGATGTCTCTCGTTTCTACATGTGACCGATTCTGGCCTGATTCCGCACTTTTTCTGGTATTTTAGACATTGTTATAACAGATTGGAATTCCCATGAAATTTGGATGATATGGTTGTATAATACAAAATTTTGTTACCCCCCCCCCCCCCCCCTTCTACAAGTAGGCATCTCTTGGTACACTAGTACATGTATACACGTTCTCTCTCTTTACACCGTTTTGCTCTCTCTCCCTCAGTCTCCCCTTCTTGGACAGGACAGAGAATCCCTGATTTAGTACTGCAACACGCGCGTGTTGAGCAAGCTCGCCCGCTCCAACTCGCCGAGGACACCGCCGCCAGCAAGAGTCCACTTCTCCGCGACGGACGACTCGTCGATGCGCGAGCGCATGAGACCGCTGGCAGCCCAGTACTCCATGACGGCGCGGGCCTCCTGGCGGCTGATGCCGCTGACGTCGAGGGTCTCGACGCCGCGGACGGCCTCGTAGACGCGGTCGTCGTAGCCCTTGAGGTACGGGTCGGGCGTGGGGACGAACTGGTCCGCGGCGGCGGCGGCGGACTGCGCGAGTGCGAGTTCCATGGACGGGGAGCGGGGCGCGTTGCTGCGCGAGGTGGCAGCGATGACGGCGCCGCCGTTGGCGAGCGGGGTCTTGCCCGCGAGGGCGTCGGCGAAGAGGCGGACGAGGGTGAGGTCGTGGGCGTGGACGAGGTTGTAGGCCGGGTCGCGGTAGGCCGAGATCTTCATGATGTGGGAGAGGCCGTCGAGGGCGAGGAGGACGGGGGGGCCCGCGGGGTTGGTGGTGAGCTCGTGCCAGAGGGCCTGGAAGGCGGGCCAGGCGAACTCGGGTTCCTTTGCGGCGGTGGCGATGTCGAGGAGGGTGCCGTCCTTGGGGACGTGGAGGAGCTCGGGGTACTCCTTTGAGATCTTGTACTGCTCCAGGACGGGGCCGCTGGTCTTGACGATGGTCTGGAGGAGGTTGAAGGTGTAGATGGGCTGGTAGAACTGGAGGGGCTTGGTGTTGGGCACGGGGCTGTAGTCCGCGTTGGAGTTGGTGAGGTCTTGGCCTGGTTTACTTGGTCAGTGATGGACGCTTCGCAAAACATGCCCTCAAGTTGTGAGAGAAGAAGATAAGTACCTTCGGGGATGTTAATGACCACCCAGTTGTTCATCAGCGAGTGAGCCATGGCCTGCAGCAACAGCATGCTCTTTCCTGCAATCTTGCCGCCCGTCAATGCCAATCTCAATGTCTGCTTCTCCTTGACGGCAGCATCTAGCCGGTTCGCGAGCTTGACAGTCTCCTCCCTGACCAGCATATGCGGCCTCCGGAACAGGCCCCAGTTCTGCGTCGTCTTGAACGCCTCGAGCGTCCGGAGCTGATCGACCAGCTTATCCGGCAGCCCGACGACGGACCCCTTGCTCTCCGCCGCGGCCAGCGTCTTGTTGGTGATCTCCTTGAGACCCTCGACGGCCAGGGCGTTGTTGTTGCTCAGCGTGATGCGCTTGCGGAACGCCTTTCTCTCGCCGGGGGCCGGCTTCTTGACCCTGACGTTGTCCCTCTTCTTCTTGGAGTTCTGGTTGATCTTGCCGCGACGGATGTGCTTTCCAATCATCTTGAGAGTGCGCGGAGCGGCGTCGGCAGACGATGTCGAGAAGGGGGCCGCGGAGGCGCCGGCATATGCGGTGATGACGGGGACGATGCGCTGCGAGAGGATTCGGGGGGCTGTTGCGGCGGCGGTCGTGGGCCTGGTGAGGCACCGCGCGCAGTTCGCTGCGGAAGCCATTGTGTGCAATTGCTGGGGGAAGAAAAGGACGCCGGTTTCCTGAGTCGATTATCGGTAGGGTGGGTATCCGCTCTGGTTTGTTATGATGCCATTCGAATGAATGCCGGCCAGCGTTTCGTTTTTCCGTCCGACGCAACTTCGCCCTTGCAGTTTTGCTGGTTCGTCGTGCGATTGGGAAGCTCTCCCCAAAAAGTTCGATGGTAAATTCTCGGGACGTTAAAGCCACACCCCCTGGCAGCACCCAGCGAACTGGGGAACAAGGTGCACCGGCCAATTTACGGCGTTGATTGGCTGCGTCGATAGCCGGCGTGGCGGTGTCAGTTGTTCCGATTCTTATCGCTATCGCCCGTCGAAATTTCCTAAACCCAGCCAGCCAAAGGAAAAAAAGTTCTAGAGTATCCCACCTTCCAGTACGCTGCGCAACCGCCGGATAAGACAACTACCACATTCAACCCCTTCGACAGGGAAACCCAAGTGCAAACCCACAGAAAAGACATTTCACCGATCCGAGGAGGAAACACGATACACACAAAATGGCGCTCCCCATCTCGCGCCCCAAGCTGCCCGTCGCAGTCAACAAGCCGACGCCCTACAACTTCGACCTCGGCCTGCTCCTGGCCAACGACCCCAACCCCCTCGAGCTCGACAAGTCCGCCATCGAAGACTCCCTCGCCGCCACCGCCCGCGACGGTGCCCAGGCCCTCATCAACCAGCTCCTCACCACCTGCCCCCTCCAGAGCACCCCCGAGGGCGTCCTCCTCTCCCTCCCGGACCCCTCGACCCCTCTCCCGCGCGAGAAGCCCGTGCCGGTGGCCAAGGAGCCCACCAAATGGGAGCGCTTCGCCGCCAAGCGCGGAATCAAGCCCAAGACGCGCGAGCAGCGCCGCAACCTCGTCTTTGACGAGGACACCAAGGAGTGGCGCGCCAAGTGGGGTTACAAGGGCATGAACAAGAAGGGCGAGGACGACTGGCTCGTCGAGGTCGATCCCAAGGAGGAGGCGAAGCGCAAGGAGGGCACCACCTGGCAGGGCGACAAGCGGAGGGAAAGAATGGAGAGGATCAAGCGCAACGAGAGAAAAATGAGAAAGAACCAGCGCGAGGCCGGCGAGAAGCGGGAGAAGCGGTAAAGGAGACGAGCGAGAGGAAAGCGTGGGATGCGGAATATGTAATGCTTCGGGTTTCGGCACATGGTTACGGCGTTCATATGGTGGTAAAAAATCATGTCTCGGCATATTTTGTCTACAGGAAGAGGGCATCGGTATCTCAAAAAGCAAATGGAGGCGCTTTGTGGCCCAAGATTCGGCCCGCCACAACTCACGTTACTACAAGCCGTCAAGTCTTGCTGTGAACTCGCCCTCCGATTTCGTTTTGCAAAATGGGGGAGCATATGACGTGGCTGTCGCCGCGCGCATCCCCTTTGTCCTACATACAAGAGTCCTATATTGTACAGAGATTCCACCGACCCCTGCAGTCATGTTGTTCGTGGCCCTATGAATCGTCACCCGTCCCCCATCCAGCATCTCGTGAATGCTCCTCGCTCACCCAATTCCTACGATGCTACTAAAGACCAAACCACGCTATATCCGCGGCACCTCACCAAAGGAAAACAAGGAAGGAAAAAATTAGGTACCCAAACCTAGAGCTACTACTAGTGATTGCCACACTTGATCTAGCTCTGGTTGCTCAAGAACCTGCATGTCGATGAAAGCTCGGCCAACGCAGTTTCCTGAAAACGGTAAAATCGACGGCTTTTGTGATACGGTTCGATGCCCTGGGGGTATACCAAATAGCATAATGCTGTGTCGCAAATGAAGAGATACCCGGTCTGTTGTTCAAAGTCATCCGTTCATGCCATGACTTTTGGTGACATCCGATATAGGCTTGGCACAGGACCGGGGCAGGGAGAGTTGCTCGGAGGAGGAAGAACGGAAGTCGTCAGTGGCGTGATGTCGTCAGTGATGTTGTTGTTGGTGATGCTAAAGTGTTCCCTGTACACACGAGTTCCGCCTGGGTATTCGAGGAAGAAAGAAACTAAAGGATACTCAAAATGGTGTTTTAGAAGCCGAGTGGTGAAAGGGGTTTGATGGGTGACAAGGGCCGCAAGTCATTCGAGCCCCGTGGCTCACGGCCGCTGTCAATCGTCAGCGTCGTACCCATCGTCGAGTTGGATGCGACGCTGCCGTTTGACTCAGAAAGTTGGATGGGCTTTTTTTTTAGCCGTCTGTCTTTCTCCTTGGTCTGCTGCTCAGTGACAACGCTGGACTGCTTACTGCTTTCCGAAAACGATGCCGCGCGATCGTCCAACGTCACAGGAGCGGGTTCTTCCTGCGCTACGGGGGCCGCAGGCTCCTCGCTCGTCTCACGAGACGGCTTGCGCGGTTCCGAGAGGCCTTTTGGGGGTGGCTGATCGAATAGTTGATATTCCTGCTCAATGAACTTTGCCTCGTTCTTGCAGCCCTTCCAGCAGTCGCGCCAGTCGCAGACCAAGAATCTGAAACAGAATGCGTCAATCTTCATGCATGGCTGGAAGCAAATGCAGAGATTCCTAAAGTCCATCTTATTCTTGTCGGAATGCGCCAGGAGCAAACTGAGGTGGCAGGTGATTGCGAAAAGAAGGTAGTAGTTGAATGGCGAGAGGTTCGACAGCTCTTCGACCAATAGTGGGGGCACGGTTTCGTAGCCGGCGCATTCTCTCGCAACTCGTTCCTGGGCCGCCTTAGGGAATAGCTCATCGGGAAGCTCTCTCAGCCAAGCCTTGAGCATGGAGCCTATGATGTTGATGTCGTAGAGGTCCGGCTGTTCGAAGAGGTTTACATCGTACTCTAGAAAGAGATGGTTAGCTTGGCGCCAGCTTTGCGTACGCACGTGTGATGAACAAACCTTCGTCAAACTTCCTCTGCCATTTCTTGATCTGCGGCCCGCTGCCAGGCACACGGTACAAGCCTTCCACATCACAGCCCTTATAGTTCAAGTAGTCGATCGCGCGCCACGGGAAAGCGGGCATCCAAAACTCCGTCTTGTCTCTTGAATCCTCCAAGCGCTTCGAGATGCGTGTGCGACGCGTCTGCTCGACCAGAGGCAGATTGATTGTCTTGAGCGTGTAGTGCTCATCGTCGATGACAGGCTCCCTCTCCGTCGTGCTTCCACTACGGCCACCCTTGCCGAATAACCGGTTGCTAATAATGTCTCTGCCACTCTTCAGTCCTCCGAAAAAGCCACCATTTTGTGAAGACGAGTTTTGCCGAGGGTGGTGGTCCTTTTCCCTATGATTGTCCTTGTGGCTCATTTCCCGGGGCGACGCGCGGTCTTCCGAGCGATTCCGCCCGGTAGAGTTCACCATTTCTCTGGCAGACCTTTCGGGTCCAGTGCTGGTATTGTTGAGCGAGTGGTTACGGCTCGTCGAGGTGTGCGACGGTTCGGGTTCGACAATCGATACGGGCACCGGGCTGGGTTGCTTGTCTCGAGAGCTTGAGCCGTCCTTGTCGCGAAGCGACTTGCTGCGGCTTAGAAGACCAAATGGCTTCGATTTGGACTTCTTGGACGAGGAGGGTTGGGCGGGAGAAGTATCGTAGTCGGCAGCAGAGGCTAAAGATACGTCGGAGCGGGACGGCAGGGTGGGTGCGGGCTTTTGGACGGAGTGCTCAGCATAGGACGGATCTGCTGGTGAAATGGCATACGGGTCAGCGACTGAAGAAATGGTCTCACGATAGGCGAAACGGGGGATGGATCAGGTAGTGGGCCCCAGCTGCACAGGCAGTGGACACTACGGTCTCAAGAAGGAAAGTTATCCTCGTACCTAAAGGTTGGGTGGGTTGGTTGCTCATGGGAGGAGCATTGTCGGGGCCCCTCGACATACTTTCGCCTCTCGAGTCAGGGTACTGGATCGGGCTCTGTTGGTGTTGCTGGTGCTGGCGCTGAGGGTGTGAGGGCGACTGCGCGGGGGAGACGAGAGAATGGGACGATTTGTTGGCAGACTTTGTGAAATTGAAGAAAAAGCCGGCGGCTTTGGAGGGTCTTCGGGATGGCTCGTCGGGGCGGTGCTGTTGTTGACGAGGGCTGATGGGGTTGTGCTGATGATGCTGGCGAGGGGGCGTGTCTTCGGAGGCGCGGTGGAGGGCGGAGGAGATGGCTTGATACTGTTCGAGGTCTTGGTCGTCGTCCTGGTCTTGAAAGTTTCGATGCTCGTCGGTCAACTGAAGAGACTGCTTGCCACTTGCGCTGGGCCTTTTCGGAGTGAACCTAAAGGGAGAGCGCGGAGATCTGGGAGAGGATTGCGATTTAGAGCCAGCGCTTGGAGGAACGGCAGAGGCGAGGGTTTCAGCAGAGCGCGGCACGTCTTCAGGCTGGTCGGAGGAGGCTTGAGATTCAGACAGCGTCAGCGGCTGTGGTGCATGCTTCCGGCCCATGGTAGGAAATTAATAATGTGCCTCTCTCTTTTTTTTATTCCCCGGGTAGCTGAATGAAATAGGAGATTTTGGGGGCCCGGTCAAGGATGATACCCAGAGGGCGCGGCGACACAGACAAGGCGTTGGTGGGCGGGCGGCGATGGGTGGTGGCAGCAGAGAGGCAGCGCAGGAGCTCCTCAATCAGGTCAGGGCCACCCAGCTTGGGGATCCGTACGGTACGAATCCAGCGGCCCGGGGTAAGTAAGGTGAGGTGGATGAGGTGAGGCAGACTCCAGAGAGAGCACCAGGCCTGCATGGGCTACCTCAGGGCTCAAGCTGCACGAAGTATTCGTAGTGGTAATAGTGGTATCGGTAGAGAGACTGTGTGTATGTACTGGTGCGGCGAGTAGAGAGAGTAGTGCGACGTGCGACGGGGAGACAGGCACACACAGGGCACAGGACAGGATCAGAATCAGGATCGGGATGAGATGGGATAGGTTGAGATGGGACGGGCAAGGAGGCCCAGAAACGGTCCCTATCCTGATTCGTTCTCTGCCGCAGGAGGGCCGACTGTTTCGGTGCGCGCACTGGGACCAGACGGATCACGCATCTGTCGGGGATATCAGGAGGTGGAAGGGGTAAAGTGCCAGATGGGGGAGACAGGCTAAGGAATGGAAATCTGTGGTAGGTGGGCGATTGAGGAAATAGAGATAGATCACCTAACCTAACATAACCTAAGGCGCGGGCGGGTGATGAAAGTGTGCAATGTAGTATAGAGAGGAAGAGGGAGATGAAGGATGAGAGTGTGAGTGAGTGACTATGTGTGAGTGAATGAAAGATGGAGTTGAGATGGTACCTGAGAGAGATGGTGTGTGAGAGTGAAAGTAGGTAGGGAAGAAGGGGGGGGGGGGGGTAAGGTACCAGGTAGGTTGGTAACCAAACAGTCCCTGTGAGGTAAGGTAAGGTGAGGTCAGGTACAAAGCAAGGCTCCTTGAGATAAGTACAGTATGGCTAGCTATTAGGTGAAAGCAGCCCGCCCGTGTTGGAGAGGTCGGGGCGTGTGAAAGGAGGCTGATGCAACTAGGTATGGGATGGGCATTGCAAGCTTGGGGACGATTGAACCAAGGATGCGGGTTTGTCTTGACTTGTTCTGGGTTGTTCCCTATTGTGTTCCCGTATAAGAACAGCCAGGTGGCTGAAAAAGGTTGGATGTGAAGGAAGTTTCAATCATTATTGAACATGAATAACGGGCAGAATGACTGGGAGAGGAAAGAAAGAAAGAAAGGAACATAGATGTTGGTACCTTAGGCCAAGGATTGATTGATGGGTACAAAGTTGCAAACTAACAGTTCCCCTACAGACCTGGAGTGCCCGAGGTACCTTACCTACCTTACCAAAGGGAGAGGGTGGTAGCCAGCCCAGCGTGAGGCCTGTCTATGTCCGTGCCTGTACCTGGAACCGGGAGCCAAGCACAGGATCTGTAAGGTACAGCTACATGGGGGGAAGACCCTACCAACCTCAGAAGGAAGGCGCGGCGCTTGCTTTCGTCGAGCTCCTGCCTGCAAAAAATAGAGGAGAGACTGTGGAGTCACAAGCCGTTACCTCAGACAGTGGTGAGAGACGTCCGAAAAGAGGCGTATTTACATACGCAGTACCTAAGAGGGGGGGGACTCGGGAAATCTGTCACTGGCAGGAAGGAGCCATGGCCCGGTGTGGATCCGACCCTGAACGAGACCTGGCGGAGGAAGGCAAGAGGGCCGGGGTGGTGGTAACTGCCCGGTGACAGGCATCGCCTTCCATTCGAGTCTTGATGCCCGGCGGGGAACTTGGAGGAAAGAATGGGGGACACAACGCGGCACGAGAGGGAGAGAGGGCACTCCGGCCGTAGTTGCCAATTGGTCTGGTGGTGTCAATCCCGACAAGCACCAGGTGAGAACGTTGGGCAGGTCGCTGTGGGGGCCTCGGGCTGTGCTGATTCCTGAATGTCCTGGACTTCTGAGATTCCCTCTCGCAATGGCCTGACACCGCATCACACTTCATTTGCGGCTTAGGTACCTTGCTCCAACTAAACACTAACATCATTTGCTGCGCTAGCCACCACCTCGTGTTGGACCTATGCTACCTTTCCTTGCCATATTCAACACGACGTATTGGAATACCCTCATCTTGTTGCTCAACTCTCTTTAATTACCATGTCGCCCATGTCGGCTTCTACGGATACGGCGTGCGTGTCTACCCTGGCGCATTGGTGCCGTCCGTTGCCGGTTAGGCCTCAATGCGGCTCTGGCCATTGAAACCGATACATTCTTCAATCTGCCTCCTTGCTCCATCCATTATCCCTCAGCACTGCAATTACCTCAAGCGGTCTTCTGCCACCAAAGACGTCCGAAGAACCGTGGCTGCTTGCGGCCTAGTTGCATCAACAGCCTTAGTCGACCAACAACGAACATGGCCAACGGCTTGCCGCTTGCCAGTCTCATCCGCCAGTCGCCGCGCACAGATCGTGGTCCGGTCCTCCTGTAGTGTCGATTTGGGCAGCGCACGTCTGTTTGACATTGACATTGCTCAAGCTATTGGGAAGCCATACCTGCCAAGCACCATTCTGGACGAGCCGTCTTGGATCGCAGAGTCAACCATGCCAGCCTCACCATCAGGTCGCCTTTACAAGTGCCTTCTTTGTGGACTCGCGACAACCAACAAGTCGTTCGTTAATAGCGACCACCAGCTTGGGCGCATTGTTTGTACTAAAAAGGGAATACATATCCCAACCCTATCGGTGATCTCTTCGTCCGTGTCACGATTCGTATTCGCAAGCGGTATACTCAGACTCAGCACCCAACACGATCCCGGCCAATGAAGTAAACTTGCTCCGATGGCGATGACGGAGTCTGTTCTCTGCCTTTTGCAGATGATTTAAAAACACCAAGCTGAAAGGGATCTCGCTGGGAGTCGGCTCCTCAGGTGTCCCATGCCAAGGCATTGAATGAATACCCTATCCAACTCGACTCTTGGAGGACATTGCCCACTGGACTGCCAGGAGGCCAGACTCTTGAAACGCAGTCAATTCTAGGATTGCCACGTTTTGCATCGCCTGGAATGTGAGCAACGCCAGGGGTGCTTCCTGCTTGCGGCCGTCCATGTAAGCTTTAAGCGTTGCATTACCTCATGACACAACTTGCGGTCACCCCTTAGAACCGGTCATCTTTCTAGTCGTCTATCTCGGGATACGTTAATTGGCAATACCAAGACGGTCAGTGCCTCCGCAGCAGTACGGCCGTCTGTGGTCCCGCCGCTCGGGCATCAAGCTGTGCGCCGTTATATGTCGTGATGACGGCACCTCCGAAGTCCGATAGGCGCTCCGCAACTTCAGGTGACTGACCACGAGCGGGTTACCTCAAATGTGAGGGAGGGGATGAAGCCTGAAGCAAACCCGTAATATGGAGCACCACGTGGTCAGAACACCGCGACAGTATGTACACTTGCAAGACGAGGCTAGGCGGTGCCGACAGAGAACGGAGCAACAGACTGATCTGGCATGATGTGACAAGTCGCGACGCAGCCAGCACGCTACCGACGCACTCTGTGCGTTTCTTCTGCACGTTCAGACCCTTCCAGAGTGTTTGGAAGCCCGAGTCGAAGATCCCCTTACTCCGTCCAACGGTGAGCTCGGCTCGATTCGCTCAACTTGCCTCCCTGGCCAGACAAGAAGACAAGAAGACAAGAAGCTTGCCGGCCGCCCACTGATTTGACGGCAAGGAGTCGCGCTACTGCGTGTCCATCTGCAAAGCACAGGCAACACGAAGCCATCTAGCATATCATCGCCTCCCAAGTCGTAAGCCTCGGACTGGTTGGCAACCAACCAATGCACGTATTCTGGCTTTCGTTTCGAACCGAGCACGTCAAGTGTTGCCGCAACGTGCCGGCTTAAGCCTTATCTCAAAAGATTGTGCCGAAAACGTGCACTCTCTTTGGTCAGAGGGCTTATTTTGAGCAAAGTTATCCAGAGGGACGAGACGACGGGTCATGGCGCAGAAGAAGTAGAAACTCTGCCGAACTCTACGCTAGAGCTGTCGTCATTCTCACTGATACCAAGTCCCGCATTGCCAATGAAGGTGGTTAGAGATCGACGGAACGGAAGCGTGTACAAGGTATCAAGTATCTATCTCAGCCAATACTAGGAAGTCACTGTTTGCTGTATGGCTTCTCGTGGAGAAGTGGCCTCGGCATCAACAACGGAGGACGGTTGAGATTACTTACGTTCGATAGGAGATCTTCGCAGATTCACTTTCCCGAGGCGTTTTTTGCTCTAGTTGGGAACTTCCGCAGCACTATAATCAACTCCAAGCCCACGGCGTGTCGTCAGCGGTCAAGTGCCTCGCGGGCGGATAGCGGGTTCGGTTGCCAAATATCAACGATGAGTTACCCACTTGCCGCGGCGATCTCTCTCGGTTATGAGTTGCCAGACTCAAGCCTAGTCGAGGATACAGCTAGCTTGTGCCGTATCGCAAAGCAGCTTTACAGCCATAACTTCCGTACACCAGCTCTAGCAACATGAGCGACAGGACATGAACGAAGTCTCCCAGAGCCTTACCATGGAAAGGGAATAGCACTCTGTGTTCAGGGCCTACGAAGTACTTGGTCTCTGACAGGCGTCATGGTTCGCACAGGCCTGAATGCCAACGTACACCACCGTTGTCCGAAAGGAGCTTAGTTCAGGCACACAATCGATCACTCTGAAACTCGGTAGTGTTTCTTCGACAAACGCTGGGAAAAGCCCCGCAGGTGTGGGCACGATGTGTAAATGTCAACAACGCCCCGAACGGTGTCCGGACGGGAAAGACCCAGAAAAGAGGGTTGGTACGCGCACATGGCAGCGTGGCAGCGTGGCTTCGCCTCCGTTGCTCCTGGCCTGGCACAAGCCTGGATGATGGCTCCAGCTGTCAATATGGAAGTGGCACGTATTGTCGTACGGATACTGTGTTATGCCCGCGAGGACCCGCCTTTAGAGTCTGGGTGCGCAG